ATATAAAAACACGACCACTATTACTAAAGATCATAAAATTCAATCAAAAACAAATAAAAATAGTATATAATGTCATTAAAGTAAAAGTGGCTAGGCTTAACATTTATTTTATCAAACTTCTTTTTTCTCCAAATAACACATACTACTTTATCTGCAAACATTTTTAGATCGAGTGTAAAGAGCAACACTAATTAGCAAGTAAATGAATAAAATAATCAGTAATGAAATCATAACAACGCTTATTATATAAATAAACATGTCTTGAGATTTTTGAAAGTGTTTATTAATTTAACTAGTGCAGTTAGTAGTCTAAAATGTGGTCAAAATGGTCCCAGAAATTGCTGAAGTAGCAAACAAGACAAGAAAGAAACAACATTGGTAAATGTCAATAATGTCATGAGAAAAATAAAAACGCTTAGGCGCATAAATAGAATTTTTACTCTATACTTGAAGAAAAAAACTTTTACCTGTGACATTTAGTAATAAAAGTAGTCACTTTTGTGACGTTTACGGATAAAATTAATTAATAGGTAAAAAGTGACATTGCTGTTTACATTTTTAAGGTTTTAGAATTGTAAATATATCGCTTAAAATTAAAAACTAAGACGAAAAACACTCAAATAAGTCAAAGATGATATTATTTATGTCTTTTGCAAGCTTGTAAACAAGTTGCTAAGTTAAAAAATAAGTTTTTTTGCAAGATTTTGTTAAATTAAACCGAAAAATCAAAATATCGAAAGTGGCAATGTTTTTGCCTATTTTAAACGTTTTTCTTTTCAAAAGGTTATCTTATTTGATAAGAAATTGTGTATTTTTTTTCTTTTTCGAACGTATTTAAACGTTTTTCAGTCAGAAATTTAATAATCTGACAAAGTTTTGTTTTTTCAGCTAGAAACTCTATTATTTCTCGACATTTTTTCAAAAATAAGCCAAAATTAAGTCGAAAATACAAATATTTGTAATTTTTTGTGTTTAGGTAAACGTTTTTAAACCAAAACAGCTTAAAATATCATCAATTTATTGTTTTTGCGTTTTTCAAAGGTTTTAACAAGTTTTTTCAGCCAGAAACGCAATTACTTTACAAAATTTTGTCAAAAATAGATCAAAATTTTTAAGCAATTAAGTTCGTTTTAAGTAAAAAATTTTACAAGATTTTGATTAACCAAAAAAATCATTAAATTGTAATTTTTGTCTTAGTACATATCTCAGCTAGAAACGTAAGAATTTTGCACAATTTTTTCAAAAATAAGTCTAAAAACACAAATTTGATCAAAAATGTAGTAATTTCTGCTTTTTTTCAAATATGCAACTACGTTTTTGAGCCATTTACTTGGTTTACTTTTGTAGTTTGCTAAAAGGCAAAAATCACCAAATAAGATTAAAGATGACGTTATTTGACCAGTTTCACTCGATTTAAGTCGTTTTTAACCTAGTCAAAAATTATCTAATATAATTAAATTATTTTTTTACATATAAATTAATAGAGCAATTTTATTAAGGTATTGCACGTAATTTAGGATGTTATTTTCCGATATAATAAAGAAAACAGATCTGATAAGTGATAACAGAGATATTAATCACACTTAAAAAGCAACTAATAGAGTGATAATTACACAAAAATACAAAAATAATTCTACTATAAAGTGGATTCCTGTTTTTGAAATAAAGTTGGCAACAATAATATTCAACGTTACCAATTTAATTTCAACATCACAGGCCACTCGATTTAAGTGTCCACTTTTAATAACTCAAGAGATTAAAATTATTATTGTCATAATTGATTTTTAAAGAGTTCACCTTCAAAATTTTATTGCAAGCTATTTACATTCTAAAATTAGCTTTCCCTGAAAAGCATCAAACGTTAACCAAACAATAAACGGAAAATAGCTAACCACAGCAACCAATTCTTATCATTTTCAATGTTATCAGCACTGAATGAATTTTTCTTGTCGTCAAAACTTCATTAAAATTTTCTTCAAATAGACAACAGGACGCTCCCATCCATTAATGTCTAAACACTTGTTATTCCACTCCCACTTTTGTCACCAAATGACGCATTAATTGTTAACACAAATCACTCATACCTGATAGATCACGTTCGAGATTTCAAACAATCGGAATACCAGTTTTGAGTCTAGCAAAGTGATAATATTATCATCAGTGCATTCGGAGTGAAAACATGTCACTTTTGTTATCATTTTTGTTAAAACTCCTCTCAGTGGTGATTTCCCTAATAGTGGTCGTGGTGACTGTGATAAAATGGAAACACCAGTATTGGGCCAATAGGGCCATCCCCTTTTTCCCCCCACGAGTCCCATTCGGGAATTTGCAAAATCCCAGACGCAAGAAGTACTCAATCGGTTTCCACATCAAAAATTTCTACGACCAAGCGAAAAAAATGGGCTGGAAACACTGCGGTTTGTACTTTTTCGCAAGTCCGGTGTACTTAGTGGTCGATTTGGACTACCTCAAACACATCATGAGTACCGATTTTCAATATTTCGTCGACCGTGGGATGTACTACAACGAGAAAATCGACCCAATTAGTGCCCATTTGTTCGCATTGGGTGGTACTAGATGGAAAAATCTCCGAAGCAAACTTTCCCCAACTTTCACTTCAACCAAAATGAAAATGATGTTTCCCACACTCGTCGAGTGTGTTTCCCTTCTTTTGGACGCAATGGTCGAGAAAAGCGTCCAAATCGACATCAAAGAACTCTTGGGACGCTTCACCACCGACATTATCGGTTCGTGTGCTTTTGGCCTTGATTGCAACACCATCAAGGAGGAAAACTCGCCGTTTCGCCACTACGGGAAGAAAGTGTTTTTCTCGACGAAATTGCGCACTTTGAAACTCACTTTTGCGTCGAGTTTCCCGACTTTGGGACGACTTTTGCGCATCCGGCAAGTCTCAAGTGACGTTTCCGATTTCTTCCGGAAAATCGTCAAAGACACTATTGAGTACCGGGAGGAAAATCAATTTTCCCGACCCGATTTTTTGCAAATGTTAATTGATTTGAGGAAGGAAGGGGCTGAAATAAGCCTCGACGAGGTTATAGCCCAGTGTTTTATCTTTTTTTTGGCCGGGTTTGAGACCTCATCCACGACTATGACCTTCGCCCTATATGAATTGGCCAAAAATCACCAAATCCAGGATAAATTAAGGGACGAAATCGTTCAAGTTTTGAGGAAATACAACGACGAAATCACTTATGAAGGGATCACCGAGATGAAGTATTTGGACCAAGTGATTGAGGAAAGTTTGAGGAAGTATCCTCCTCTACCCTTTGTGACCCGGACCTGTGTCATGGACTACAAAGTGCCACATAGTGACTTGATCATTGAGAAAGGGCGAAGGGTCATTTTGCCGATCCTTGCCCTTCACCATGATCCTCAATTTTGGCCTGAGCCTCAAAATTTTGACCCTGAGAGGTTCAATGACCAAAACAAAAGTCTGAGACAACAATACTCCTACATACCATTCGGGGAAGGCCCCAGATTTTGCATTGGTAAGCCTTAGTTTTATCCACACAATTAATTACTTGGTTTTCGTAGGGAAAAAATTTGGGCTGACGCAAACCAAAGTCGGTCTTGTGGCCCTAATCAAAAACTACGAGTTTTCGGTCAATTCAAAGACCACAAATCCTTTGAAAATGGCGGCGAATACGTTTATTTTGAGTGCGGAAGGGGGGATTTGGCTCGATTCGAAGAAATTGTAAGACTCACCGGAAGCCAAACAAATTCCTGTGTTATCATAGATGTGTGATAAACTATTGATATTAGGACACTTGTGTGGGGAGTGATGCAGCATTATTTTAAATGCCAAGGCTAAGTTGGATTGGAATTTTCTAAGAAATAGAAAATTTTTGAGCTTTATCTTATTTATCAAAATTTTGCAACTGCTAGATTTTAGAGATTTTTTTAAAATAAGTAAATATCACTTTATCAATATTGTGTGTGTTCACCTGTTTGCGTATTTTTTATTTGTTTTTCATTGAATTTCATGATCTCAAGTAACAGTGGTTGTGTTTTTTATTTGTTTTTTTGAGTTAGAATAAAGTGATGTTTTTCAAAATCAAGTTTTAATGTTTCTTTGTACAATGCAATAGTAAACAGAAATTTGTGGAAATAATGAAAAAAATACAAATAGGGCAAGTATAAAAATTACAAAAAATTTTTTTTTGAAACAAAACAATAAAAACCAGTACAGGATTTTGACTCATCTCTTAAAATTACAATAAATAGTGTGAAAACAATTCCATTGAATGAAAAAACTGTTTTTTGTTAATTTCTTGTTTGCTTCAAAATTTTTGTAGGTACTCGAAAAAATTATCACAAAAACGATAAAAAACCAAAGTAATAAAAGTTCATACAAAATTAATAGAAAAAACAAAATAAACAAGTTTAAAATAGAACAACACAGAGAAATGAGAAGAAATGAAATTAGCGAAAAAATAAAAAGAGAAGGAAAAATAAATATAAATAAATTCAAAAAAAAAAGATGACAGATGGAAAAATCATAAGGTAGTACAAAGTGAAAGAAAAGGAATATACTGAAAGAAAAGGAATACTGAACGATTTTATTATTATTTTATTATTTATTATTTATTTTTTCAAAAATATATA